CACCCCTCGTTGTGTAGCGCTGCTACCTCAAGTAGGGAGTGACTCTCGGGCGTTGGCGTTGGGACGAAAACGTCCAAGCCAGCTTCCTGTTCTGGGCTGTAGCGGGCCTTGACGTCGGCACAGGTACACCTTGACTTGTACCGCCCTTTGTCGCACTTGTCGACCCACTTTGCCCTGAACAGCTGCGCCCCGCGCGGTACTTCAGACCGCAGCACAGGCGTGAAAGCGCCTCGGTCCCACAGCTTTCTTAGCTGCTCCTTGCGTGCCTGCTCGACCTGCTTGGGGTCGAGCATCCGGTCTAGCAGGTCTGTCACCTGCCCGACCCACCCGTCCCGCTCGTCTGTCACCTGCCCGACCCACGCGTCCCGCTTTGGTGGTTGGTGAGCGGCGGGTCGGCTAAGGCAGCGATGTGCTGCCACACCTCGCGCTCAGTGAGCGCTCCTAGCCGTGGTGCCTTCTTGGGCTCCACCCGGCTCTTTGCTGCAGGCGGCTGCTGTGCTGCCGCTGCGCTCGCGGAGGAACCCGCAGAGTCGCGCTTCTGCCCCCCTTCGCCTGAGCCGTCGTTGGCGGCTGGGGCGGGGCTTGCCGCTTGTTGCGGCAGCGCGCTTGCTGCGGAAGGTGCTGCCTCCACGTCTGACGGCTCGTAGTCGGGCACGTCTGCGTTGGCCAGCTCCTCGGTAGGGCTGGCGTCCGGGAGCCTGCTGGCCTGCTCGGCCCCTTCGACTAAGAACGACGAGGCCGCGGCCCGTCACTGAAGAGCCAGGGCTCACCGGGCGGTTCTAGCCGCTCCACTTCCTCGGCCGGCGTGGCCAGAGGGATTGGCACCATCATCGGCTCGCTGCGCTCTGCTGGCGCTGCGCGGCCAAATCTGGGGTTCCAAGGCAGGCCGCACGCTTTGAGAGCGGCTGCCGTCTGGTGCCGGGTTTCCGGCGAGAGTCGCCTGACGCTCCTCACGTTGAGTGCGCCTGCTTCGGTCAGCACCACGTGGGAGTCGTCGCGCTCCAGCTTGCCAGTCCAGACCCCTTTGACCCAGCGCACTTGCGCTTTGTTCCCGGGCCTTGGGAGCTTGGCTAGCACGGTTTCCCCAAAAGAGCAAAGCGCTCCACCATAGTCGGTGCCAGTGGCTGCCCGATATGGTGTCACCCCGTCCGTTGACTTGGTCCCGAAACGGGCCTGCAGCCAGGCGACGTGCCTGACCAGCCACGGGAACAGGTTGGACGAAGTGTCCCACTCTAAGGCGGGTAGTCCGCTCTTAGCTGCGAGAGCCAAGTGCGAACCTCGCCTGCTAGATGTGCGTTTCTTCCCTCTACGGATCCTTGGCTTTGGTGTGACCCGCGAGGGGCGTCCCGAAGACGCACCCTAGCAGCTCCCAGCCGGCGGTGGACCGCACGGGCCACAGAGGCTATAGCGTTCTCTTGGTCGGCCTGCAGGGTGAACTTGTCGTACCCCAGGCGGTCCACGAACTGCTCCACAAGCCCTGCGGCGTAAGCCGCGTGTCTGTGCCCTTTGTGCGCCACGGGAACTGACAGAGTCCAGCCAGTGGCCCTCTCTGTGAGGTTCAGCACCGTGGCAAGCGACGCTTCTTCCTCAACTTCTTTCCCGTCCCGGCTGTAGAACTGATGAGGCGGGGCACCGCTTGCAGCTTGGGGCGCGGAGGGGCCCGCATTCCGCCAGGAGGCCGTTGACACGTCGTGGCCGCGTCGTCGGCCACTTGGGCCACCTGGCCCTTGTTGCCTTTGCCTTTTTCCCTATGGTTTTCAACCAGCACCTCCTTTACGGTGTGCCCCCGTTTTCCAGCAGATGGGGGCATCTGTCTTTGCCGTCTCTGCCTCCTTGCTGGTTCCCTTCCCCTTTTGTCCCTCGGCATAAGTCGAAAGACCTCCCGCGTGCATAGCGAGGCTGCTTCGAAGAGCATTGGGCTCTCTTCCATCCCATCAACTGCCGCGTCTTCATCTGCTAGTGCGCGCCCTTCGCCATACTCGGATGCGTTCGGTCCACGTCTGCCTCCCATTTTCCTGCAGAGCCAAGGAGAAGTCGCTTTCTTTGGCGGGGAATTTCGGCATCAGCAGGGTCCGCCTCCAGGTGAGGTTCTTGGACTCGTTCTCTGGGTTGTGCTCCTGCCAGAGGAGACCCAGAGCTCGAAACCCATTCTGCCTTTGCACGTCCGCGCGCCAGCTTTACAGCTGTGGCGGAAGTCCCTGGTCCGCTGCCAAGCATGCAACGAGGGACACTCATTGTCCGCCACTTCTTCGGTCATGGCGCCCATCTGGAGTGGCACCTTGCACTTCCGAGCCACCTCCAGTTCTGCTGGGTACCTGGTTCTCGACCGCAGGCAAAGACTCTCCTGAAAGGCAAAGCGCTCCAGTCGTCTCGCCCCTTAAAGGCGGTATAGGGAGCCGCATGCTCTTGAGCAAGTGCCCCTCCACCGCTCGCTCTCACTGCTCGGGCGCAGGGCAGGTGCCCGCCGTAGCGGCTGCTGCAGCTAGGCCCTGTTTTGTTGTCTCGGCCGCAATTCGCCAATCGCAGCCTGCAGAATCTGCTGCGTGGCTCTCCAGCAAACCCCTAAGTTTTGCCACCGCGCAGGGCCTCGACCACGGTCGGCCCTGCACAAGCTGGCTGAGCCTGTTGCTGGCTCTCTCTGGAGATATCGAAGATAGCCTGGTGATCTGGTCCCCAGCAGCTGCTCGGAGCTTCCCTGAGCGGAGGCGGTGGTCCCAGTCAAGGCGGCGGCGCGCCTTAGCCTTTGCTGCCGGTTGGGCTCGGAAGCTTTTGGGCGCAGCCTTTTGGCGCGGCTTAGGGCTTTGCCCTCCTCGCTGCTCTGTGGCCCCTTTTGCGGAGGCAGCGGGGCAACGCTCTGCCGGGCTTTCCCAGAAGAAAGCTGCAGCAGTGGTTGCCCAAAGAGGATTCTGCGCTGCTGGGGCTCTCAACCTTCTGCCGGCACCTGCGGGGTTGTTGCTGGACGACCGGTCGTGCCCTCTCTTTCGCGCCTTTCGGCGCCTCTGTTAGTCTGAGCTGGCTTGCCCTTGGCCGGACTGCCAGCTCCCTTGCAGGCTTGCCCTTTTGCGGCTTTCCCCTGCACCCCTTTCCCCCGTACCGGGGGCGTTCGGCTCCCCGACCTCTCCGAGGCGGGGCGGCCGGATCCTTTGCCCTTTTCGGGCTCACTTTTTTCCTTTCGCTTGTGCCTCAAGGGCTGCGGTTATCGGCTCAAGCACCTTGATCAAACCCCTTTACTCTCGACAAGCAAGCTACTGCTACAAACGACTTTAAGCTACTGTAGCCTACAAAAAATCCTCGCACCCCTGGCCCAACTGGCCTTCGTGTGCAACATTGCGCTAGGCATGTTGGCTGGAGTGTGAACAGGTGGGTGGCCACAGGCCGTGGTCGTCAACCTTCTCGCTCAGGGCGAGGCAGCACCGGTTCTGGCTGGTGCGGGTGCCGGGTCGCGTTGCAAAGCCAGCTGTGGCGTGCGACCAATCGCAGGTCGGGCGAGATCTTTAGGAGACTGACACTAGGCAAATGTTTGATGGCCGTTGTTTCGCGAGGATTGCCTGGCCTGTTCAAGTTGGTGTGGCAGTGCCAGGGGGTGCTGAGAAAGCTGTCCAATTTGTTGCGCGCCTGGATGCGACGCCACTCCTCGGCCTTTGGACAAGTGTGCTTCTTACAAACTTGATTTTAGCAATGCTTTTTAATTGATTAGCAGGGAGGTTTTTTTCACATCCCGCGCGCAGCCCTTCCCTGCACTCGCTCGCTGGACAACCTGGTGCTATCGGGCCACACTCCCCCGTCTGCCGTTTGGTGACCAAGCTGGTGCTTTCCCCGCTCCGGCGTTCAACAGGCGACCCTCTGGGCCGGCTGCTGTTTTCGGCTGCCCTACAACCTTTGGCGATGGGATTCGGGACTCGCCCTCGTGCAAGCAAGGCCTCCGCAGTCGGGGCCTTACTCTCAACCTCTCAAGTGCGAGTGTGGGCTGTGTCTCTGTGGGACGGAGGCTTCTCGCCTGATGCATTCCCTTCTCGCTTTACTGAGGCGGGCTGAAGCTCAGCGGAGTCTTGCGGCAGTTCGAGTTCATCTAGAGCGCCGGTTGGCTCGGAGCCTTTTGTCGACGCCCCACCAAGTCCAGAAGCTGGCTGAGTTTTGAATCCCTCAATGGGTTTGCGCTTCTCCGTGATCCGTGCGCAGGCTATTGCCGCATGATGATCCAGATCAGGCCATACATGCGATGTGCCCCACCTGTTTGCTCAGCGGCGGCGATTCACACTTTTGACGGGCTTGGTTAAGGCTGCTTTGGGCATGACTGGGCTTCATCTGACAGAGCAACAGTGGTCTCAGGCTTTCTGTGGGTTCGCCCCATGCCGGGTTGGGGTTTCGGTCCTGTGCTCGGAGCATGCCCTTGCGGCCTACCTGGCTTCTTTTGGGTGCCCGTTTTTGGATGTATGCCGCGAGCTGGGGGCCTCAGTTCAATGCTGCGGACAGTGGCGGGCCTCGCCCGAAGTGCTAAGCGGCCTTGGAAACTTCAACGCCCAGGCTGCCTCCGCTCAGCGACTCACTGTTGCCGGCCGCCCGTGCCTGAAAGCTTTCACAGCTCCTGGAATCAGGCGGCAATGGGACACCCGGCACCCGGCCACTTAAACCGTCGGAGCGAGCGGTCCTCAGGTCCGAAGCTGGCTTGGGCGCCCCCGAGCCTTCCGGCGGCTCTGCCTTCCTGGTCGCCCAACAAATGAAATGGAAAAAGCCAGACTTCGTGGCAGAGCTTCGCTTCCGCCTTGGACTGCCAGATGCGGCCGAAGACACTTGGTGTTCCCAATGTGATGCTGTTCTTGACCTCTTCAGCCATCAGCTGCCAGTGCCAGCTGTGCGTGGCGGGTCGAGCGCACTTTGAGGCCCACAACCATCCGTGACGCTGTTTTCACTTTGGACACAACGAGGCCGGCCCTCATCCTGAAACGTGAGCGGGTCCTGGTCTGTGCTGCCGCAGTCCCGCGAAGACATGAGGGGCTGGAGGGCGCGCCCCCCCGCCGACTTTGCTTGCCTGCTTGCTTGGTTCGCGCTGTTGCATTTGATTTCGCGTCACGCCACAGCGACAGGCAACCCTAGCTCAGGCAAGATGCAGGTCGGTGCCCGCGGCGGAAGAGTTATGCCCGCACAAGAGGACCACCCTTGAGCACGGCAGCAGCGTGCCAGGCGCAAGGTCCAGTTCGCGCCTATGGTTGTTGAGAACGACTGGGCATTGGGAGCTTGGCCAGCCGCACCCTCAAACCAAATTGCTGGGGCCGTCCGCTGCCCGCACTGGTGCCGAGCCAGGCCCTCTGCATGATTCGCTCCTTCAGGAGTCTTAATGTCGTCGTGCGCTCTTTCCGTGCCCGCGCGCCCTGCGGCGGCGCGCCGAGTTGGAGACGTCATGCCTTGATTCTGATTCCTTTGGCCTCCCGGGGTGGTCGCCCTGGCGCTGCGGGGTGGTGTCATGGGGGCTGATAGAGAGTCCCTGGCGTGGGCCTGCCGTGGCGTGCTCGGGTTGACAATGAAGGCCTCGAGGTCGAGAGGCTTGGGCAATCATCAGGCTGAGACGCGTCTGTGGTCTCCAGGTATTTTCTTAGCTGCTTCTTTGCTGCTGCGAGAGCTGGCGGCACCCGAGGCACACTGCTATACCTTTGTTTCTGCTACTTCCACATGCGTTGTAGCGCAGTTATTTCTTCGTTCGTGCTATTTCCACAGGTGTTGTAGCCTATGGGCTTTAATGCAGCTTTTCGTATCGTTTGAGTCTGTAACTTGTTCCCGCATATTCCTTAATTCTGGAGCGACAAGTGCCAGCGGTTCCTCCGTACCCTGCTCCTGCTCCGTGTCCAACGTGCCCCAGCCACCCCTGCACGGTTCTGCATGGAGTGTGCTGTCGGTTGGCCCGGCAGCGAGCCGTCGCCAGCCCCCCCGACGCGGTCCGTGGGTGACGTGTTGGACCTCGAGAGTGCGAGCACCCCGAGCTTGGCTTGCCCAGCGGTAGGTCCTACTGTGTGCGGACGCAAAAAAGCGTTGGAGAACACAAGATTTGGTGGAACCAGACTAAGCTACACAGTCCGTGGAAGAATCTACACCATATGTTTCACCTCGGACCTGGCTCATGCGAGCCGCATCAACACTTAGCTTTTTCGCTGCTCGAACGAAGGATTTCGTTTCCACGCCAAAGCAAAACAAAACAGCTTTGGCATGTGCAGTTGGGACTTTGCTTTTGGGTGTTGCTGTTGGCTCGACTGACTACCTGAGCCCAGTGGCTCATTTGTGGTTATCTTTTCAACAACGGGCCAAGTACGGGGCTGCTCGCACATGGTCGAACTTTGGCGCGGAAACTACATGGCGGGCTTTCCTGTGCAGGGAAGCCAGCGACGCTGTTAGCATGTTGTGAATGTCTTGCAAGGCAATCTCCGGAAAGTCGAACGAGATGTTCTTCTGGGCAGCGTCGGGATTGCTCAGTATGTCCTTCTTCACAGAGAAGCGACGAGTTTTTTCGCATATCGTGGTTTCGAGTTTGTGATTCAGACTCTGACTGCTGGAGGCCGGGGCAAGGCAATCGGAGGCAGCGCAGCATTCGCGGTCTTCAAGCATGTCTCTTCGCGCGCAATCATTGCAGTAGCAGGGCTCCTGCTTCAAAGGGGCATGTGCAATCTGTCGACAAAGGGATCAGTTCCGACGGGCGGTAAACCAAAACAGTTTCATTCACGAGGGCAATCACTTCGGCGCATGGCTTGTCCTTACCGTAGCATCGTCGCGATTGAAATCCTTGGCATTCTTCCCATGGCAGGCTGCCCTCGGGGTCTTCAACTCAGCATGTACTTTGGGGTACGCTTCCGTGTGATGATCCTTTCCCTGGTTGTTCAGGGAGCTCTGATGGCCGCTGCCGCGATTGAATGGTAAGCACGCAGTCCTTGTGGCGGCTGACTGTGAGTGATCAAGCTGTAGATCACGATTCCTGTCTCCCATGTGGAAGCTAAGCGGAGAACAAGACTGCGGAGACAAAGACTGCCTGGTATCATTGGTCACAAAGCACTGCGCTTAGCTTGATTTTGCATCGCTGTGCCAAGCTTGATTCGGTCATAATGCTCATGTACGGCGCAGTTACTGCACCACACATGGCCTGGAAAGACCCTCCCTGTTTCCCGCGCACCGTTTCCGCCGCTTGTTGCCGCTTGTTGCGGACGATGGGTATGAGCATGACAATCTTGTGATGATTGGTTGCTTTGTCGAGCGAAACTAAAACTGCACCGAGGG